ACCAACGATGGACTCAAATAGACTATATTGCCATCAGTCATCGTTGGAGACTGTCGGTAGAAGATTGTCGCTCATTCTGGAGTACCTTCTTGAACTCCGACCACGCCCTAATACGGGCACGCATCTGCTTGCGCCTCACCGGACGCAAAAAAGCCACATTAAAAAGATCCATTAGAATTGAGTTGAGTAACGAGAAAACCAAAAGTAGGTTACAAGAACAACTGAGTCCCCAATTAGGTAGTTCTGAAAACGAGGCTGACCCAGATGTTGCTTGGAAGGCTATACAAACAGCTGTGGAAACAGCAGTGACATCTATTAGTGATTTAAACCAAAGGGTTACAAAGAATCAATGGATTTCCTCAAGGTCTATCACACTGATGGATTCTCGTTAACTCATCCCGTCAGGCTCTGAACATGATGAAGAGCGCAAACGAATCAGATCTAGGTTAATCAAAAGTCTAAGGAACGACCGTGAGCAGTGGTGGGCCACGAAAGCAAAAGAGATGGAAAAGGCGGCGATTATAGGGAACACAAGACAGCTCTACAGACTAATAAAAGAAACTGGAATTAACAAGTCAAGTGTAAGTGAGACTATTTCGGAAAAAGACGACACCCTCATCTGCTCTCAGTCCAAACGTTTAGAACGATGGGTGGAACATTTCAGAGAACAGTTCAGCTGGCCTTTAGCTACTCTACAACTACCCTCCATTCCCAGACAGTGTGAATGGAACATTGAAGTAGGTCCCCCAACTCTTGCTGAAGTTCAAAAGGCTATAGTTAATCTGAAACGAGGAAGGGCAGCTGGTCCAGATGGATTGGCTCCAGAAGTCTTTAAGGATGGTGGTCCAATTTTAGCGATAAGGTTGACTAATATTTTAGCTAAGATCTGGGAGTCAGACGTTATCCCATCTGACTAGTCACAATCACTTATCGTCCCAATATATAAGAAAGGGTCAAAATCATCCTGTGACAACCACAAAAGGATTAGTTTAACAAATATAGTATCTAAAATACTAGCCTCGATAATTATCAGACGCCTAACTAAGACTTGTGAACTGCAAACACGAGAGAACCAAGCTGGTTTCAGACCTGGTCGTGGCTGCATCGACCACATATTCACCATTCGTCAGATTCTAGAACATAGGAATACTTATCGGCATCCGACAATGGTGGTCTTTCTCGACTTAAAAGCAGCATTTGACTCGGTAGACCGCGAGACTCTGTGGCAGTGTCTGTCATTGAAAGGCGTACCTCAGAAGTACATAAACCTTGTGAAGGCTCTCTACTCGAACACTACCAATCGAGTCAGAGCTTATGGCGAACTGTCATCTGATTATGCAACCTCAAGTGGTGTCCGTCAAGGCTGTCCACTTTCCCCATTTCTGTTTAACTTCATCATAGACATACTAATGGAAATAACATTCTCGTCGACTGAATTCTCGGGTGTTGATCTCCTTCCAGGAGGTCCACTTATCGACTTAGAATACGCAGATGACATAGTCATGTTTAGTGAAGACACTGATAGAATGCAGAATCTTTTGGTAGCACTGAGCAACAATAGCAGAATGTTTGGAATGCGCTTTTCTCCCTCTAAATGCAAGTTGTTGCTTCAGGACTGGTCTACGTCAACACCTGAACTAAGGATAGGGAGTGAAGTAGTTGAACACGTTGACAACTTCACTCATCTTGGAAGTCTGATCAGCCGTAATGGGTTGGTGTCTGACGAAATCTCAGCACGGATTCGGAAAGCTCCTTTGGCTTTTGCAAACTTACGTCACCTATGGTGAAGGCGAGATATCCGTCCATCAACTAAGGGACGAGTATATTGCGCGACAGTTCGTTCTGTTTTATTTTAAGGGTGCGAAACATGGTCATTAAGGGTTGAAGATACTCGTAAGCTACAAGTATTTGACTACATACGCCTTAGGAATATTACTGGGATCACCGGGTAAGTAATAATGAGGTTAGACGCAGGGTATTAGGGAATGATGGTAAATCGATTGATGAGGTTGTGAATCTTCATCGACCGAGATGGTTGGTCCACGTGTTGCGTATGCCTGAACACCGATTACCACGACGTGCAATACTAACCGGTGCTGGGAATGGTTGGAAGAAAGTTAGGGGCGGCCAAACCAAAACGTGGCATCAGTGCTTGAAGTCGCAAACTTCTGGTCTGAGCCATGTTGGTAGATGCAGACTACTTGGTTGGGGTCCGCGTGACTATCGTAACCAATGGTTAGAGACTCTTGGTGACATGGACCAGAATCGATCACAATAACGTCGGTGTATACACTCTCTATCTTCCCTTAAACTAAGATTAAAATCGCTTCATATCTTTCTTTCTACGAACTAATTCTTTCTTCTTGTACTATATCTCTATATGCAATCTTTCTCTTATATATTACCACCTCTGAATTAACCACTTTTATAAATCCGGTGTTCATCTTGTTGTGCTGATGCGGTATGGAAACCTGGACCGATGCACATATGTGCCTGGTTCTACGTTGTAGCTGACTGACTGACTAAATGCTCAGGTTGAAATGGACAACATCGGATATGAAGATATCATGGGACGACATGGACTGGGAGAAAGAAACAAAAATGGTGAGAGATTTGCAAACCTATGTGCTTTCAATAAACTCATCATAGGCGCCACTATATTGTCACATAAACACATACACGAAACCATGTCGATTTCACCGGATCACGCTACACGTAACAAAATCGACCATATCTGCATCAACAAAGGTTTCAGGTGGACGATAGAGGATGTGAGAACCAAAAGAGGGGCTGGTATTGCCTCAGATCCCTTGCTGGTCACCAAGATGAGATTGAAACTCGAGAAGCACTTGACGATGGGGCGGACAACATCACAAAAATCCAATACACCTTTCTTCGGGATACTGATAAACTCAACAAATTCAAGACGGCCCTCAGTAATAGGTTCCGGGTCTTCCACGATCTACTTAATGGAGAGGGAACTATCATGGAGAGCAACTGGGAAGGGATAAATGAGGCAATCACTTCACCATGTCATGAGGTTCTGGGCCACTAGAAGCACTATCACAGGGAATGGATCACTGTTGATACACTGGATATGATTCAAGAAAGGAGGAACAAGAAGGCAGCAATCAACACCAGCCGAACAAGAGCAGAGAAAACCAAGGCACAAGCTGAATACACAGAAGTAAACAAGCAATAGGAGAGGAGCATGCCTGAGAAGATGGCCAATATAATACCGAATTCCTATGATGGATTAAACTAAAAAATTGTGCATGGAGGACAGCTCACAGACTCGTTCGAAGTAAAAACCGGTGTCAGGCAAAGTAACTTACTCTCACTCTTTCTTTCTCCTGGTGATCGACTGTATCATGAAGACGTCAAGATCTGAAAGGAAGTATGAAATACAGTGGACAGCTAGGTGCAGTCGTACGATCTAGACATCTCAGATGATCTAGCTCTTCTATCGCACACGCAACAACAAATGCTGAAGACGACCAATGTAGCAGCAGCCTCAGCAGGACTAGGTCTCAACATACACAAAGGGAAAAGCAAGATTCTCCGATACAAAACAGCATGCACCAATCCAATCACAACTGACGGAGAAGATTTGGAAGATGTAAAAACCTTTACATATTTGGGCAGCATCATTGATGAGCACGGTGGATCTGATGCAGATGTGAAGGCGCGGGGATCGGAAAAGCAATAGCAGCATATTTACAACTGAAGAACATCTGGAATTCGAAACACCTGTCTGTCAACCAACACAAAAGTCAGAATTTTCAATACAAATGTCAAGACAGTTCTACTGTATGAGGCGGAAAAATGGAGAACTACGAAAGTCATCATCCAGAAGATACGAGTGCTTATTAGCAGTTGTCTACACCAAAATACTTCAGATCCGTTAGCCAGACACTATCAGTAACAAACTACTGCGGGAGAGAACAAACCAGATCCCAGACGAGGAGAAATCAGGAAGAAGCGCTGGAAGTGGATAGGACACACATTGAGAAAAGCACCCAACTGCGTCACGAGACAAGCCCTCACTTAGAATCCTCAAGGCCAAAGGAGTAGAGGAAGACCAAAGAACACATTACACCGAGAAATGGAGACAGACATAAGAAGAATGAACAACAATTGGATAGAACTAGAAAGGAATGCCCAGGGCAGAGTGGTTCGGCGGCCTATAGCTACATTGGGAGTAACAAGCGTAAGTCAGTGAATATACAGTTCCGTCCAAGCTTCTTTACTCAGCACAGTCCTACTGCATAGATCATACGACCTATTAGAGAGACGGATTTCATTGAACGGTATCTTATTCTTCACATGTCAAAAAAATCGATGGACGTGCTTCACACCCCGCAACATAAAATTAATCTATTTAAATATCTGAGTGATGAAATCCAGTGACTATACTATTAGGATAATATAGAAGAATTAGACATGCTAAGGGCGACGCCACAACAAAATGGATGCCATAATAACTTTATGAGGAAATACATAACTGAACCTGAGTCCAAACCACGGACCTCCTCAATTGAAAACTCTAACTAAAAGTTGATTTCAAAATATTAGGTTAGTTGGTCATTTTATTATTACTACTAAAATATGATCTTGAATGCCCTGGAAATTAAATACTTCTTCCGTATAATAAGTCTAGAAAGTTGTTCCTAGACTATCTTAGTGAGATTTACCTGGAGGAACAGGGGAATAACTTGATTTAAGTTATTTTGAGCTGTCATTTGTGTTCATCTTCAGATTTTAGTCCTCGACATCAGATGGTATCAGTTATGAACGATCTCCAGAATCCATTGCAAACTCGATTTCATGTAATACATCACGTATATATCACAGTTTTGATAAACATAGCGTATAGAAACATATTGAACTGATTAAAAACGAATGTGCCAGATTCTACATTACTCATGGCTGTGTGCCTGATTGAATTCACTTCTAACTGTTTACACTGAACCGAATTAAAAAAAAAAGAAAAATGCTTGCTCATTTTATTGTTTTAAGTTTTATTTTCAAATACAAATTTCATAGGATTCTAACAAAACAACCAATTAAAAGTAGAAAACACTTGTCATGAAAAATATTCAATTTCATAATTACTGTCAATTAAATAAGAACATTCTTTGAAATCTTTATTTGTAAAATAGTCAATTAAACTTCATTTGTTCATGTTCACAGACAATAAATTCCAATTAACCACATATTTATTTGCCTTTACTTTCTTGATGAAGCAAGTCTTGACGCGAGCTGGACACTAGCGCCTGTAAAACGAGAATTAAAAAGCAAAGCTTGTAAATAAAAAGATTCAATTAGAAAACAAATTATTATACGATTCATGAAGTGAAACGTGCTAATGAATGCTGGAAATTACTTCAGTGTGACATAGTTCTTTAGAGCATTCAATACATATGTGTGGTTAAGTTGCTTAAAATAATGAAGTACGGAACGTAACATATTTTAACTGAAAATTGGATTGCATAATAATCCCTGGTAGTTATTGAATTACTACAGATTCCTTTTATTTGTCAGGCACCAGGTTTTGTTATTGTTTATTGATAAAGAAGAAACAAAATTCTCTTTCAAATTGTTTATAACCTAAATGAATGTAAAATATACCTATTTTTGTGTTGACTGAGAATAAGAGTCCATTGAACCAACACTAATGGTTCACTAGTGATTGAACCCCTCTCCGACTTACCAAACAATAACTAGAATCAGTACATTAAATTTAACTTGGTAAGTTGGAACTCATTCTTTAAATCATACTAAGCCAACTCAATCTTTAATTATGTTTTGAAACTTTATTGATGCAATTAGTAATATTACTACTATGAGCCGCATCATTTACATCAGACCTAGTGATACAATCCAGTTAGTCAAACTAAACTAGATGCAGTGACGTCGAGATTTGAGATCCACTGGTTGAAAGATGATCGCTTCCTTTAATAAGCCAATGCAGCACACTCAAACTTTCGAATAATTGGTGTTACTAGACCTTATAAACAGTGTGGTCCAAAACCAGGTACATGAACATGTACTTGGTCAATGAATTAGATAAGCCAATCTTGAGATAATAACGGAGTGTTTTGTTTGTAGAATTGGTAGACATTGTTTTAAGGAGACTACTCTCTGAACCTTGATAACAAGACTGCTGCAACAAATTGTTAGTTCTTAAACGATTCCATGGTGGAATGACCACAAATAACTTCTACTTCAAATAAGCGTAGTTTCATGACAGTATCACATACGTAAAACATAATATCTGTTTATCGACGCCCAATAACAGATAATTAATACAAGTTTAAATGAGAAAATAACAACAACTAAAATAGATAACACCTTATCCGACATGTGCTCAAACTGTATCTTACACTTTCGAATTTATATAACTGTGTGTTGACAAAGGTTGACTATCAAATATTAACAATGGTTTTAGTTAATAGTATATTCACACTCAAGGCATTTTAATTACATGACAGTTTTTTATTGATGCAAATACATTTTACGGTTATTTATCGCCTTTATATAGACAGCTTAATTTAACAGACATAATGTGTTCAAATTCTGTCAGTGTGTATTGAGTTCGTGTCTGGAGTATGATACTGACTGAATCTTATATGGTAATATTGAATAGTTCAAAACATACTTTTCAGAATTTTTAGAAAAACGAAATTAGGTAAATTGTTTAACATTGTGATAGCAAATGAAGTATCACTAATATCTAGTCAAGTGTCATAAAAAAGACAAGTCTGTGAGAGAAAATCAAAATACCTTATTTGCTTCAATGGTTTTTGTCCAGTCTTCAGCACCAACCAATACCGCAGCCTCTAATAGAATTTCTCTAACGTGAACAATATTTTTACGAAACTGTTCCAAAACCATATCAACACAGACCTGGTAAAAATGAAATAATACATTAAAAATAAGTTTGTTGGTATCAATGCCAAGTTTGAACTTGATAGTTTCAAATAAATTGAGCATTCTGTGGAAAGTTAATAATATACATGTAGACCGAGAAATGATTTATGTTTCATATTCAGTAAAACTAACCTTTAGATGGTTATAGAGATTTTATGTTGGTCGGAAATTAAAGTCATCCATCGGTGAATGTGAATTATTTGAGTTGCGGATAATTTTATTTCCTAGTTTTGTTTAATTATCCATTGCATAAAAGACTGTATCTAATGTTACCCTTGGGAGAACATTATTTACTAAAAGTAATAACTTTATTCTATTCAGTGAAATCAACTAGAAATCAGATCCTAGGTATTCAACTACCAGTAATAATTATTCAGCTTTTAGCTGTTTACAGTTTCATTAGTGCAATGCAATATGACAATATGTCTGTCATAAAACATCATTTGAT